GAATGAGTGGTAGTTTCATTAGTGCAGTTAGAGTGTTAATCAGTATATTCTTCAGTGTAAGTTCAGGAGTAGAGTGGTTTAAAGTATTTGGCATTATCACTGCCAAAACTAAAAATGGAAAGATGATTCAGACTATTATAGAAAAATTATAAAACATCCCTGTGATCATTTTTGGTGAAGTTCTTGACTTATTTTAGACATATTAGAGCTAATTTATTATTTACTTTTTTTCCCTTTAAAGACCAAATGAATTTCTTAATGCAGGCTTCTTCTTGTTTCAATTCTAGAAACAATTGTTTCTAGAATTGGCATTTATTTTTAAATCCTTTCATCTTCATAATTGTCTTACAGACTGTAGATTATAAAGAATACTGGTGATTATACTTGTCTGTCCTAAAACTTGACACCCTGATTGATTTTTTTTTTTAAGCCAAAATGTAGTCAATTTATTTTTCACAAGGGCTCAGCATGGGAGACAAACAGAAGCAAAATAAAAGTGACAAGTTTGGCATAGTGGGCTCAGGTCTGCAATCCCAGCTACTCAGAAGATTGAGGCAGGAGGATTACAAATTAAGGGCCAGCCTGAACAACTCAACCAGACCCTGTCTCAAAGTAAAATTTTAAAAAGAAAATAAGACATCCTAGCCTAAGGCACAGAAACCAGCGAAAGAACCATCTAAGAAAAAAAATGAAAACACCGGAAGAAAAGCTGGACAAGGTAGGTCAGGAAACAGTTTTCTTACAGTATTTAAAGGCCCTGTGTGTATCCAGAGTGTAGCAGCATGTGTATGCAAAGTGCTGTCCATTTTGGATAGTGGGATGGTCCTAATGTCATATGGGGCAGACCACTTGTCCTTTAGTATGTCCAAGTAGATGTTACCAGTGGACATATTGGGATGGTAGCAGGGTATGAAGAACTTGGCAGTGGGTGTGTTTGTAATTGTAGTCACTAGGCCACTGCAGGGAGAACTTTGACCTCAAGTCTTTGCGTACTCTCTCGCCATTGTTTCACAGATGGTCCCTACCTGTTTGAACTGTTTGACACAGGGAAGGCAGAAGTTCCTTTGTCACCAGACATCTAAACATCATCAGCTCCATTTGTCACCTCTTGTGCCCAGAGTCCTGGGTAGCATTCCACAGGGCCAGTTCCTGAATGGCAGCAGTGAAGATGTTGGGTGGAGGCCTCTGGAAGCCATCCTTACCTTGCTTCTTCAACAAAAGTGATACCAGTTAAGTATTCATTCAACCAGGAACCCTGAATATCTGCACTGTACCACAGGATGGTTATAGAACCCTCCATTACAGAAAACTGGAAAAGAAGAAAAACTGAAAACCACCTATCTCAGTTCTCAGTTACACACAGTTAATGTTCAGGTATGTGTTGCCTCCCCCAGCCCTATATCATTTTATAGCTTCAGTTCTTTAAAGACATAGAAAATCTTAAAGTAACACGTGGTAGCTAAAATTTGGTAAATTCTGAAAAGAGTTAAGAAAGAACCAATTTATGTTGAGGGAAAATTAAAGGTATTTGCCATGCCGTTTCAAGGAAATCTTTCTTGGACACACAAACGATCAGTAAGCTCACATTCTTTGCCTATAGGCAACAATTCCTTGCTATTCATCTTCTCATTAGCTGATATTAGGATATCCTCTATTCATCTAAATGCAATTTTTAAAGAAATTGTGAAAGTTTTTAGTTATAGAGCTTATACATTTAAGCTTTTCTGGATTTGTAATCTTTAATAAGCTGATATTTTATAATATTTAGTTCTCTTTCTGCATCATTGACAAGTTTTAGTATATGGATTAAGAAATGTTTTATCTTACAGATAAAATATACAAATTAGTAAGGATTGCAGAAGCTTTTTAAAAAGTTGGGTTAACTATAGATTTTATAGAAAAGCTTCAAAATTAGTACAGAGTTACTATGCCCTGCTTTCAGCTTCCACTAATGCTAACACCTTCTATAAATATTACAGGTTTGTCAAAACTAACTTGTTTGCATCAGGATGACACTAACTAGGATTCTTTATTTAGATTTTGCCAGTTTTGAGCTGGGAATGTGGCTCAAGCAGTAGTGCGCTTGCCTGGCATGGCAAGGGTTCGATCCTCAGCATCACATACAAAGAAAGATGTTGTGTCCGCCGAAAAACTAAAAATAAATATTAAAAATTCATTCTCTCTCTCTCTCTCTCTCTAAAAAAATAAAAAAGATTTTGCCAGTTTTTCCATAAACATCTTGTTTCTGTTCCTAGACCCACTCTAACACACTGCACTTCATTTAGTCATGTCTTCTTAATCTAACAGTTTTTCATTCTTTCCTTGTTTTTCTAGATCTTGACATTTTAAATTATAACCTATAAATATTTTGTAGAACATCTCTCAGTTCAGATTAATGGATATTTTTCCTGTGATTATACTGGGGAAGAATGTCACAGAGGTGTGGTGCCCTTCTGAATATATCAGTGTGTACATAAGACCAATGTGACTTATCATTGGTGATGTTAACCTCTATCACTTGGTTAAAATGGTATCTGCCAGATTTTTCTATTGTAAAACTATTTTCCCTTTCCATATTTTGTTCTGTGGAAACAAATCCAAACGATACATGACAAGAGAAGACTTAAGCTCCACTGGAGAGGGGGCTATCTACACATATTGGAATTCTAATGTAAAGGAGGGTTGTCCCTTCTCCCTTATTTATTCAATCATTTTTTTAAATATAAACCCATGGAGTTTTATTTTATTTTAAAACCCAATACTATAATTATTGTTTTGTTGCTCAAATTGTCCCAGGCTTAACCATCAGGGTTGCCTCCTGCCTCTTTTTTTCCCTCCTCCTTATCCTTGCTTACTTGCTGGAACCATAAGATGTTCCAAGGTGGGAGCTCAGTGGCAGATTGTATGAGTGAGGCCTTGGTTTCAAATCCAGCACCACTCCCTCCACCCCCCACATAAAAAAGTTCTCCAGATTTATCTTGTATTTTCTCCTTCCCAACTCCAGAAACAGTAATTTCTCCTAAGATCCCTGTTTCTTTCATTGGAGAACAGTATTCAGAACTTAAGATTTGGGCATTAGATGTACTTGTGCTATTAGGTTGCTTCTAGATCTCAATGAACAGAGCTGGGGAATATATTAATGTGTATTAACATGTATATACACATCTATAATGACTTTGGTATATTCTATATGTATTTGAAATGTGAGCTCATACTGATATCTCCCAACACCTAATCCAGTACCATAGGATTCATTCTAGCTTTTCCCCTTCTTTGTAACTTATTTTTCTTCCTATTATCTATAATTTGCTTACTTATTTTTTTCCTAGCCCTGGTACAAATATAAAGTAACTTGAAAATTGCTAACCTACCATACCTGTATCAGATGTGCTTATTAAAGTACAGTGTATATTGTTTATGTCTTCAATGTTACATTACCCAGTCAAAACACATTACAAAGTTAAAGCAGCATCAATAAAAACTTCCCCCAACAAACCTTTTTTTTTTTTTAAAGAGAGAGAGAGAGAGAGAGAGAGAGAGAGGGGGAGGGAGGGGGAGGGGGAAGGGGGGGGGGGGAGAGAGAGAGAATTTTAATTTTTTTTTTAGTTTTTGGCTGACAACATCTTTGTTTGTATGTGGTGCTGAGGATCGAACCCGGGCCGCACGCATGCCAGGCGAGCGCACTACTGCTTGAGCCACATCCCCAGCCCCCAACAAACCTTTTTTTTTTCTAAATATATTATTTTATGTTGTTTTCAGCACACCCTCTAAAAGGAATCATTTAAACTTTCAGTTTAGTACCAAATAGTTATTCTCATTATGCATCAGAACTCTTTTAAAATTTACACCAACAAACCTTTTTTAATGACAATTTTAAATTGACATCAAATCAAGTGACCCCAGGTGATATAAAATTCTGATTACCAGCTATTACCTTTATCAAAAGAAGGAAACGTATTAAAGACAGTTCAGGTAGAAATCTTAAAGACAGTTCAGGTAGAAACCCATTGCCCCTTCGAACTGTATTCTTTGTCCTATCTTTAAAAATCAATCAATTTTGGCTGATTGTTCAAAAAATCTAACTAGTATCTTTTCATTGCTTTTGTTGATTTTCTAGTTTTTTTTTAATTTCAAAGTGATCACTGATAAATTATATCAATTGATGATATTTGTCTTTTTCGCATTTTGAATAAGGCTTTAAAAATAATACATTTTTTAAAAAATAAAAAAATAAAAATAATACATTTAAGCATCATCAGGAATAGGAGGAAGTGAGATTAGTTAAGAGTCTTTTAATTATCTTTTAAGAGTGTTTATTAAAAAGAAATTACTCCTATGTTTAAATAATGAAGCATCTTACTTTATGCTGAAAGTCGAAATAAGATACTTTTCTAACATCTCATAGTGCTCTGTATTGAAGGCATTGGCTTTATATTAGGTCCTAACTACATGTTTACATATGACGTGACAGGAAAGAATATTTTGGGATCAAACTGTTGGAACTTAACCTCCTCTGGTTTACAAATGTTGTAAAGGTATAGGGGAAAGAGTCTACAACCTGGGCTGGGGCTGTAGCTCAGTGGCAAAGTGCTTATCTGGCTCTTGTGAGGCACTGTGTTTGATCCTTAGCACCACATAAAAATAAACAAATAAAACAAACATGCTGTCTATCTACAACTAAAAAGAAAAAAATTAAAATAAGAGAAATGTTTTGGGGAATTTATCCTGTCAGTTGCACATTCAACAATTTATTTACCACTAAGCACTATCCTGTGAGTTAAGGATGTAACGATGAGTAATACAATCCTGTCATTCAAGAGAATAGTATTTTGGGGGAGGCAAACCAAGTTGATTTTAAACTATATTACGAAAGGCAGAAGATTTTCTGATTGTTTGGTTTAATAAGAATTGAGGGGCTGGGGATGTGGCTCAAGCGGTAGCGCGCTCGCCTGCCATGCATGCGGCCCGGGTTCGATCCTCAGCACCGCGGGTTCGATCCTCAGCACCGCATACCAACAAAGATGTTGTGTCCGCCGAGAACTAAAATAAATAAATAAATATTTAAAAAAAAAAAAAGAATTGAGATAGGTCTTGAATTAAAATTCCTTTCACTGTCCACTTTAAAAATCAACCACCACCATATTTCACATCATTAGGGCTGACTTTCTCATCTTTTTATCAAAATGGGAAAAAGGCAGTCTATTGACTGAGTTTTCTTCATTTTTTGACATCACTATTGTGCCCCAAATTTTTATTTGGCAATGTGTATTTTTTTCCTTGGATAAAATCATCAGATATCTTTTATGTGTTTGCAATTGACTTTTTTTTTATTCTGAACTCATTAAAATTGGCCCTTGCTGTGCATTCAGAAATTGTGCTCACCATGATTGAAAATCAGTCACAGTCTACCAGGTTTGGTAACAAGATCTATTCTTTGTAGTCAGAAATTTCAAAGAATGTATTATCATTATTATTAAGACATGAACTTGGCTGAAGAATAAAGATGAGTGGGGGGTGAAAAATAAATCTTAACAGTTTTAATCTTTTACTAATTCTTTTAAGCCACTATAAGTACTATTTTTAAAAAAAGAATCTTGTGGGCAGGGGTTGTAGCTCAGTGGAAGAGTACTTGCCTAGCCCGTGTGAGGCACTGGGTTCAATCTTCAGCATCACATAAAAATAAATAAAATAAAGGTGTTGTGTCCATCTACAACACCAAAATATTTTTTACCTTTTTAAAAAAATCTTCAAACTGATACATAAAAATTAACTCCCTACCTACTTACTATCCAGAAAGGAGAAATTTGGCTTGAAAGGGATTTTTTTTTCTTTTTATTCTCTAGCCTTTGTAGTCTAGTCTTCCCATTGTCACAGGTGAAAATGATTTGAGCACATTAGATGAAATTGCATTTCAGTCTTGCTAAGGCACTGAGGAAGGTATTGAATGAGCCCAAGCCTGTAATCATGTAACCATTTATAGTATGGGTGTTTTATTTTGTTTTGCTTTTAATCTATGCTGACTTTTAAAATAATTGTATCCTAACTTGTTTACATGTAAAGTAAGTTCTTATTTATTTGACCTTCTACCATCTGACCTTACTGTGCTTTTACTCCTTCTTTCCTATTTTAGGACAAGGAGATTGTTTTCTCCTTTATACCACCATTTGTTTAGAATTTAAACATTCTACCTTTCTAGAAAGACTTTTTTAATAGCTACCTTATTACATGACAGTAGAATGTATTTTTTTTTTTTAATGGTACTGGGGAATTGAACCAGGGCTTTGTATGTGTATGAGAGGCAAGCACCCTACCAACTGAGCTATATCCCCAGCCCACAGTAGAACATATTTTGGCAGAATATACATACGTAGAGTATAACTTATTCTATTTAATAAGTTAATATGTATAACTTATTCCCACTTTTGTGGTCATACATGATGTGGAATTACCTCAGTCATGTATACAAGTTATAAGTAATTAATTCTGTCTTTCCTATTCCCTCACCCCTCCCTTCCTTCATTTCCCTTTGTCTAATCCAATTGATTTCTATTATTCTCTCCTCCCACAATACCTTTACATTTTTTCCTTTATATTTATTTATTTATATGTGGTGCTGAGAATCAAACCCAGTACCTCACACATGCTAGGCAAGCGCTCTACCACTGAACTACACCCCAACCCCCTTTACATTTTTTTTTTTTTGTACTGAGGATTGAACTCAGGGGCACTTGACCACTGAGCCATATTCCCAGCCCTTTTTCTGTATTTTATTTAGAGACAGGGTCTCATTGAGTTGCTTAGCGCCTTGCTTTTGCTGAGGCTGGCTTTGAAAAACTCTCAATCCTCCTGCCTCAGCCTCTTGAGCCACTGGGATTATAGGCATGCACCACCTCGCCCAGCCTCTTTACATTTTTTAACACAAGTACTGGGTTGCACTGTGATCCCCAAAGGATATGTGCATCCAAAACTTTCGAACCCAACTTTATCTGGAGTAAGGATCTTTGCAGATGTAGTTAAAGCAAAAATCTTGAGATGAGGTCATCTTGGGTTGAGGTGAGCCCTAAATGCAATGATGAGTGTCCTTATAAGAACAAAAGAAGGCACAGAAAAGGGCAAAGCTACGTGAACACACAGTGATCTAGCTGTAAGTTAAGGAAGATCAAGGGTCGCTGGCAGTCACCAGAAACTGGGAGAAAGGAATAGGAGCTTCTCATTTGGAGCTTCCTGTTTGACCTAATAGGTGGTGAAAGTATACAAAAAAGGAGTAACCCCAGAAACATCTTGATTTTGGACTTCTGGTTCCAAAAATGATGAAAGAATGCATTTCTGTTGTTTTAAGACATTGAGTTTGAGAGAAATTTTTATAACAGTCCTAGGAAACTGATACAACATGCATGCTAGCTTAACAGAACTATACATAGTACAACTTACAGTGTTCTAACTCTTACCACATTGCCCTCATTTTTTAAATATCATAAGTCTGTTTGTTTCACCTTGATTTTAACCCTCCTTTTATCCAAATGGATCATTTTGTTACTGTTGTAGTTTGTGCTCAAATGCACTTAAACCAGCTTTGTTGGTGGCGCCATTCATTGCTTGCATCTCCTTCCTTCCTTTTAGGAAGTATTCTCTCTATACTACTTCCTTTAATATTCTTTTGGGAACAGGGAAAGAGGGTACTGTGTGTTAAACTGTGTTTCACCCTAACAGTTTCTTCTCAGCATTCTTTTCTTGGTACCAAGGAGTGCTGTTTTGAACCCAGGGGGAACTTAACCACTGAGCCATGTACCCAACCTGTTTTGTTTTTGGATATTTTGCAGTTGCATTATGGTGTGACTAAGTTTGGATTTATTTATCCTGCTTATAAACTCTTTTCTTCCAAAATCCCATTATATTATCATTATACATTATATCTAGGTTTCCCAATCTATTCTTGGTCTCTTAACTTTTCTCATATCTCTTACCACTCTGTACGAGATGTGGTGATTTTCTCAAATCTTTTTTCAATTCACAAATTGTTTTCTCCTATCTAGTCTACTGTCTAACACATGTATTAAGTTTCTAAATTTCAGTGCTTATATTTTTATTTCTAGAAGTTTTACTTTTTTTCAGTTGCCAGTTATTTTTTTCAGTTCCTACACATCTTATCATTTAAACATCCCTACTTCACCATTTCCTTTAGTTGTCCTATCTTAAGTTCTTAGAGTACTGATCTTCCTGTTAGCTATATTACCCATTTCATGATGGATACTGTACCAATGTCAATTATAACTTTGCTTTTGAAGCTGTGTTAACAGCTGACATTTCTCCGGTGTGAAACCTGAAGTCTAGGGTTTAGGGAGTATCCCTAAAGAGGAACCAGGGCCCTAGGAGTTCCAGAATCAGTTTTTTTTTTTTTTTATATTAAATTTTCAGTTTGGGCACCCTATAAGAAGAGGATGGAGTTAATTTAGATTCCATGTAGGCTTAAAGTTCTGGTTTCTCATAGAATCACTTTGTTTTTTTAACCCAACACAGAGTAATGGGCAGACAATGTAAGTTCCCTGCTGCTCCCCTGTACTAGAAGGCTAAAGTTTTTTGGCCCGCTTTACTTAATGAAGTCTTTCCAAGGTTCCTGATATTATGCGAGAATTTCAGTTCCAGCTCCTTGTCTGAGACTCATGGAGATGCCTCTAGTAAGGTACTAAGCCCTCAGTTCTTAGCCATCAGACCTGCCTGCCCCCACTCATGCTGGTTAACTCATGCACTAGTTTTGAACACCCCTTTTCATTTTTGAAACTTAAGAATTTTTCTTTCAAGATAAGCAGTATAACTAAAAAAAAAAAAAAAAAAWTATTGTTTTTTGGCCTGGTTTGGTGGTACATGCCTATACTCCAAGCTACTCAGGAAGCTAGGTAGGAGGATCACAAGGTCAAGGCCAGTCTTGGCAAGCTCAAGGTCAGTCTCAGCTATTGATGAGACCCTGTCTCAAAATGAAAATTATAATGGGTTGGGGATGTAATTCAGTGGTAAAGCACCCCAAGTTTAATTCCCAATACCACAAAAACATTTTAAAGAAATATTTATCTGACATTTCTGTGTTTGAGATGGGAGAGTAGCTTGTAGTAAGTCAGTCCACCATTTTCATTTTAAACTGCACTGGATTACTAGTACAAATTGGCTGTTTTATAAATCAGAGCTGATTCAAGGTCATTCTTATATTGATATTCTCCCTAGAATTCAGTTACCCTTTGTTAACAGACAAGGAAAGTATAGAACTATAATTGTGCTGAGAAGCATATATGGCCATGAATATACACACGGAATTCAGTTCTGAAAGTGAACATTGTCTTTCCTCTGCCACAGTAGAAAACCAAGTTGCTTGAAGCAATCTGTAATGAGGCCAAGATTTGGAGCTGAGAACCTTTTGAGTCACTGAGCCTGTCTTCATTTTGTTGTCACAGACCACAGGGCCAGCTCAAGCAGATGCTTCTGAGAGGTTCAGGTGAAAGGACGAGGAGCGTTTGCATAATACATTTCCTCTAATTTACTAGGAAAATTCACTCCTGGGTTAGTTTTGTGTACAAAGCACAACTTTTATTTTTTTTATTATTCACTCATATGTGAAGCAGTTTATGTTTAATAGCCTTTTAAGATAACATTGCGTGCCTCTACCAATGGACTCATATCCCAAGGTAGTTGAAAAAAGCATGTTTATAATATATTCTTTCATCATATTTAATTAAATGTACATATATATTGACTTCTAAGACAGTCTGTTTAATATATATGTATACATATATTTATCCACACACATAAAGTTCTATATATAGAAACAGAGAGAGAAAGATCCCTCCCAAGGCACTATTTAGTGTCTAGCCAAGTGATAATGCATGTTGTTAGATTGAGACAATAGCAATAACAGACAGTGTATCTGCTGGAGTGCTCTTGTTAATGTTAAAGAGTGCCTTCTTATTATGGCAAGACTGTTTTTAGTCTTTAGAAAATGCAAGCCATTCAAGTGTCAGGTGTCGAAGAAAAAATTAGATCCATCAGATAGGAACACACTTTAAATAATGGTGACCACATTTGTTTTGCTTGCTCGTTGCCTAGTAACCACAGGGCATGACAGAATTGCAGACATAGAGAAGGTTAAGGGCAGAGAAATAGCTACGCTCTGGTGGTAAGAAACTTATCTGCTCAGAAAATAACTCACAGCTCATTGGCTCCTTTATACTATACTGAATTCATTTAGCATACCCTTTTTATAACACACAACTAGATTGTTAAAGGACTAACTATTAATTTTGGATATGTTCAAGTTTCCTTGGGCAACTGCTGAACACCACCTTTTTTAAAATGTAAAGTTATGCATGATTTTGTTTATTCACCCAATTATATTCAAGAAACTGGGTCAAAGGCAGTGATGTTCAGAACACAATTTTTAAAAAAGGAATTAAGAGGCTGGGGCTGGGGCTCAGAGGTAGCCCACTTGCCTGGCATGTGTAAAGCACTGGGTTTGATTCTCAGCCCCACATATTAATAAATAAATAAAATAAAGGTCTATCAACAACTAAAAAAATTTTTAAAGGAATTAATAAAATATCAGAAAGTAAAGATTAATGTAGCTTAGCACATGGGTCCCTATTTAGTTGAGTGACATTGAGCTAATTAATTAACTTTTCTAAGCTTCAATTTCATGGTTGATGAGAATTTAATACTTATCTTGCAAGGTTTTATGAGGAGTAAATAGGCATTGTAAGCTAAGTAGAGCACCTGGCACATAATACTGTGTTAATAAATGAGTAACTATTATTATTTGGTGGAAAAGTAGATCATTAAAATATTTTAAATACTAGATTTGTTTGTATTTTTACCTTTAAATGAACTTTACATCTGCAACTAGCTTATTTTATACTTGATCAAAAATGTAAAAACATATATTTTCTAAAATCTAGAATATAAAACTGAAGAGTGCAGCTGGTATTCAAAACAAGCAAGTTGAAATATTTTTTTTGAAAGATGAATTTAGGAGATAGAAGGAGGAGAGGACTTAGAATTAGAAAAGCTTCATTCTTAATTTTGAATCATGACAAGCAAAGCCATGAGACTTAATAAATTAAGATTTTGTAATATCTTTTAAACTAAGCCCTGAAATAGCAGGCCCTGGATAAGAAATGTGTTAGACTTTTCAAAAGCTTCACTTTGAAGGGTCTTATTGTGTTGTCTTTCAAAAGTGGAAAATTGATTACTAGTTCTGCATCTAAGGGGAAATTGGTCACATTTTCAGTATTACGAGCAGACTCCTAAATGCCCAAAGGGAATTATGTTCTGTCTTTTATTGCCTGTGGGAGGGGTGTTGCTAAGAAACAGAATTCCTGATACACTCTGAGGAAAGCAGCTTGTCATTTTAGTGATGTACTGAGAATAAAATGCAGCAATGTATTTTCAAATTTGAAGGCTGCAAGTAGCCACAGAAAACCACATCTGTGGTTGATTAGACATAACTCATTTGATTATTGTGAGGCTCAGAAAACAAACCTTAAAAGCTTACATATTGATGCTCTAAAAGCATAGATGGCATGCTAGATCATTCTTTTGTGTTTGATGAATGAAAGGAAAAGAGCTACAGAGTCTGAATAGAAGAAAACTAGCATGCACCCAGCACTTCCACACAAGCATGGGGCCAGGTTGTCTCAGCCACATCTTACAGACTCTCTACTTTATTATTATTTCCACTTTACAGATGAGAAAATGAGTTCATCTGAAGTGTGACCTAAGTAAGTCATGAAAGCTAGCAGCAGTGCTCGTAACTTTAAGTTACGAGGTTCAAGTGAAAGGACGAGGAGCTTGCCACTACACTTGCCATGTGTCCACTTCCCATATCAGAGTCTAAAGCAGGGTCCGAGTTAGGCTGCCACTGTAAAGGAGATAGGGCAAATTCCATAATGTCCAGACATGGTACTAGAGTTTTAGGAAGGCCTAAATTTCTGGGGAATTTTTTGTCTGCTAACAAATTGACTCTTTCTAGTCATTTTTCAATCTGTTAAGGCAATACACCCTTATGTGATTGCCTCTTGCCACAGATCTGGAAGGGACCAAGAGTATGAAGTTACAATCTTTGGGTGACCATATAAGCTGGTACACAGAGGAGGGTACCTGAAGTGACTGGAGTCTTTTCCAGTTTTGTTTCTGTTATCTCATCTCATTTCTAGACTCTTACCCTCAACTTTTCAACATTCACATTAGTTTTTCCCTTATTATAACTGGGTTCATAAGTAGCTCATGGAGACAAATGATGTATTCAGAAATAGGAAATTATATTCCTTCAATAAGAATTACTAAAGCATAGTACCTGACAGGCAGCATTTCAAGGCTGAAGAATCAACAGCGATTAAGACCAAGTTCTTATTCTCCTGGAGCTTATCTTCCTGTGGAAGAGAGACATGTGAAAAATAATTTTAGATTAGGTACTTTACAGAAAATCCCAATGCAGAGGGATGGAGAGTGAGTGAGAGTGGGAGGGGGTCAGTACAAGACAACGGATCTCCAGGACCTGCCTTCGGAACTGAGACCTAAGAGGCAGGAAGGAGCAAGGGGTGCAGGCTTCTGGATGCAGAGTGTGGGAGGCAGAGGGAACAGCATGCACAAGCTGCTGACATGAGCTGTAGCCTGTGATTCAAAGAATGGCCAGGCAAGGACACGGAGCACAAGTCAAGTGGAAGCGGCTGATCAGAGCATTACACCAGGCCAAGTCGGCCCTGTGGAAGAGTATGGATTTTATTCTGGGTGTGATGGGAAGTCATGCAAGGTTCTGACCTGAAATTGACATGCTCTGTGTTATTGAATTATATCCGGCTGCTGCCTAGAGTATCCGTTGCTGTGAGTTGAAGTTGGGAAACCTTTAGGAGGCTTTCTCTGTGGTCTAGAAGAAAGATGAAGAAGGTCGGGACTAGGGCGCTGGCAAGGGAAATGGGAAGAGGCAGTCCGACAGGCTGATACCTAGCAGCAGCTCCTAAAGAAGGGCTGAGGGGCTGAATGAGTAGTGTGGAGAAAAGAGGAGAAATCAGGGACTCTAGACACATGTTAGTCATGTTCTTAATAGTTACAGAACAAAACCTGCCCTGCTGATGAGCACAGGTCATTTCTGTCCGAAGCACAGCAGCAGTGACTGACAAGAGAAATTAGCATGTGTGAGTGCTAATAGGATTTTTTAAAGTTGAAGCTTAAAAATGTTTTATTATTTTATTTTTTTTTTACAAAAAGGAAAGAACAAATATTCCCTTAGTTGTCAGAATCTTAAAATTAAAGGAAAGATACAAAGAACTCTGTTTATGATTTTTTATTCACATGGAGCATAAAAATAAAATTCACAATGAAAAAGCAATTTAGGGGCTGGGATTGTGGCTCAGTGGTAGAGCACTTGCCTCACATGTGTGAGGCACTGGATTTAATTCTCAGCACCACATAAAAATAAATAATAAAATAAAGATCCATCAACAACTAAAAAATGTTTTTTTAAAAAAAAGCAAATTTAAAAATATTGGCCTATTTAGAGACTCCTAGGAGGAAACAGTAGGGCACACATGGGTGAATACACCTTTCTCTCTGAAATAATAAGTGCTAAAATAGAAAAAAAAAAAAAAGAAAGTAATGATATTTCACTTACAGGTATATAAAGAGTACAGAATCTTAGGTGTACCCGGGTGTTAAAATAGAACACAAAACAGGGCTGGGTGTATTGCTAACTAGTAGGGCCTCGCATGCATGAGGCCCTGGGTTTGATTCCCAGCACTACAAATGAGTAACTAAAATAATAAATAAAAGGTAGGGAGCGGGGAGCACAGAATAACTATATGGCTTGCACAGTATGAAAAGTCAATGAGAAGAATTTGCTGTGCTCAGGAGGGAAAGGGAGACAGTTTCTTCAGTAGAACTCATGACATGCTCTCTGGTGCAAATTTGTGACAATCACTATGCCAAGTGTCAGTCCTGATTGCTAAGCCAATGCATGGTACACTAAAGTAATGTATTAATTAGTCACAGTCATGAAATCAATACTTAAAAGTACTGACAAAGACAAAAAACATGTTTACCAGTGAGTCACCTGGTAGTCTAGAGTAGATATTTGTCCGTCCCACCCCCATCCCCGCCCCTCACCCTGCCATCACCTGTTTGTGACTTCTGGGCCCAGATTCACGATTTTGTTTGGTTCCAGTGGTTTCAGTCTTAGTGGGATTTTCCTGCCAGTGCTGACTAAGGAAGGTTCATCAGATGCACAATCAGAATTAGAATCTGGATTCAATACACACACTAAAACATGGCTGGCACTCAGTGAAATGAAACAATGGCATCTTTAAGAGATCCCTGTTGATTTCAACTACACTGATTACCAGAGCAGCCTGGTTCCTATGCTCACTGAGACCTGGTTTTACAGCTATTCTTCTAATAAATCCTTTCTTTCCCCTCTAAATTAGCTGGTGTTTCTATTACTCTTGAGTGAATCCTAACTGAACAATTTATGTCTTTTTAATATTAAATCCTAGTTTTAATAAAAAACTTATCTATTTAAGTAAAAGAATATCAGAAAAGACTTTGTACTTTTTTAAGTTTCTAGTTATAGCTACAACTTCAGAGGTAATTGGGTTAAGTATACATATGTTTAGAAATGGTTTTAAATGCCACATCAGTTCCCAAGACTTTCTCAGAAAGGCACTGACTGGTGTGATACAGCTGTTCATTCACAGTTATGCGGTTCTCATTCCTATGTGTTTTCTTTACATCTGGTTTTGAAGAGCAACTCTGTGTTCTATACAATTTTTGAAGGTCTCAATTTAGTTTATGTTGCTCTTTCTGTGTATGAAAATGTTCACAATTTATCAAAATGCCCCTCTTTCACCTGAAATTTTCTCTCAAGAGAAATGGTAAGAGCCCAGATCAAGCTTACAAGGCCTGGAATTCAACACAGGGGAAAGATCAGGGTTCATTATTGGAGATGGGGGAAGGAAAGGGTGTTTAGCTCTTCTTTTCTCTACTATTTTTTAACACCATCAACATGTGTGGTTTTGCACAATAAGCCTATTGCTTCTGTGAGGCTTTCTTGGTTGAAATGAAATGGGGGTGGGGCAGTGTGTACTTTGATTTGCTATGAGCAAGGTACCAGTAACGTGAGCAATATATAAACCAGCTCTATATAAACCAGCAAGGCATTGGATGCCATCACCGGGACTGCATTCTTCCAGCATTGAGACAAGGGTGGATGAGGGGCTTTGAGAGAAAAACTGAGAGATTTACTTGCTTTTCAGCCAATCACCCCAAACAGTATTTTTTATTACCCTAAATTTTTAGAAGGGTCCCTGCTCAGGCCTTGTGTTACACTGAGGATCTTCTACCACCAACATTTCTCTCCATCCCTTACACGGAAGGAGAAGTCATGATCTGATTGTAGAGCTTGGTGACTCAGCCCAGACATAGGACTCCAGATGTACTGTAGGAGGTGAGTTCTGGGACTGACCAGTTTCCTCCTTGGATAGCTTGCCTGTTTTAGTCGGCTTTTCTGTTGCTGTGACCAAAAAAGTGTTCAGGAAAAATTGGAGAAGGAAAGTTTATTTTGGCTCACAGTTTCAGAGGTCTCAGTCCATAGACAGCCAGCTCCATTGCTCTGGGCCCAAGGTGAGGCAGAGTATCTCAGTACAAGGGCATGGCCGAGCAAGTAGAGAAAGAGAGCTCTGTGCACTGGAGACAAATATGAACCCCCAAAGGGACATTTCCAGAGWCCTACCTCCTCCAGCCACACCCTATCTGCTTTCAGTTATCCCCCAATTAATTCCTATCAGTGGATTAATCCACTGATTAGGTTTCTACTTTCATAATCTAATCGTTTTACCTTGTCTAACACATGAGCTTGGGGGGGACACCACATATCCAAACCATAATGCTACCCTCAGCACAGGTACATTCTCCATCCATCCTGCCCCTCATGTAGTGAGTACACCTGGGATAGTTCCAGAACCCACCTTCTACATGTGCTTCTGGAGACCTGTGTCTTTCCTTCCTTGTTGTCAGGTTTAAATAAGTGTGAGGTAGAAGTGTCCTTTGGTACTAACTGGGTAAGTTTTCCATGGTCTGGGGGCCCAGTCTCTTCTCCAGGTGGGTTTTAACACAGACTCAGGAAGCAAGTGGTAGAAATTTCATCTAGAGGCCAACTTAATTCATGCCAATAGTAAGGGCTATGAAGAAATTAAAGCAGTGTTAGAGAATGAAAGGTAGGGGAGGATAAAAATAGGACAGCTAGGGAAGTCCCCTCTGAGGAGATGACATTTAAGCTGAGACAGGAATGATGTTCAGGAGAAAGCTATTGGTCAAGTGTTTCAGGCAGAGGGTACAGCAAGTGTAAAGGTCCTGAGGTGGGACTTTCTTGGATTTTCCAGAAACAGCAGAGAGACCAGGGTGGGAGAATAGTAGGACATGGAGTCAGAGGATGCAGTGGGTAGCGGGGAAGGGTGGTATCTTTGAGGCCCTGGAAGGAATTTGGATTTTATTCCAAGCAAGTTGGGAAGGTGTGAAAGGTATTGAGTACAGAATTAATATGATTTTGTATTTTTAAGAGCTCACTCACAGTTCTGTGGACAAGAGAGGGAGAGAAACCAGAGTAGAAGCTGTAGATGATAGTGAAGATGGTAAGGGGTGAAGACATTTGGGATATGTTTTAAAGATAAAATGGATGGTATTGCTAAAAGATTGGATGTTAGGTATGAAAGAAAAAAAGAATTAAGGCTGTCTTCCAGGTATTGAGCCTGAGCAACTGAGTGGAGGATGTTTTCATTAATTAAGATGAGTTTAGATATTAGGTATCTCCCAAAAGCTCACATGTGAGACAATGCATTAAAGTTCAGAGGTGAAAGGATTGGATTAAAAGAGTTATCCTGGGCTGGGGATGTGGCTCAAGCGGTAGCGCGCTTGCCTGGCATGCGTGCGGCCCGGGTTCGATCCTCAGCACCACATACCAACAAAGCTGTTGTGTCCGCCAAGAACTAAAAAATAAATATTAAAAATTCTCTCTCTCTCTCCCCTCTCTCACTCTCTCTTTAAAAAAAAAGAGTTATCCTAATTAGGGCATCAATTTCCTGATAAAGATTAACTGAGTGGTAACTATAGGCAGGTAGGACATGTCTGGAGAAGGTGGGACACAGAGAGCATAACTTTGGGGTACATATTTTGTACCTGGTCAGTGGAGACTCACCCTCTCTGCTTCCCAGTGCCATGTCCCCTGCTGCTTTCCTCTGCCACACACTTCTGCCATAATGTTCTTCTTCACCTCAGGCCTCAAGGAATGCAGCCAGCTGTCTATGGATTGGAACCTCTGAAACTGTGAACCCCCAAATAAACTTTTCCTCCTCTTATTCATTTTGTCAGGTCTTTAAGTCACAGCAGTGAAAAAGCTGACCAAAACAATGAGTGAGTAGAAGGAAGAGGAGTGGGAGTGAGGTAGAGTGTGGCTTTGGGTATTTAAGTCTGAGATCTTATCAAATGTCCAAGAGATGTCAAGTGTTGTCCAATCCACAATTCCAATGAGAGGTTGGGCCAGATATAAAATTGGAGGCTGCAAATATATAGATGAACATATTTAAAGACAACGGACTGGGCTGATCTCACCCATGGTTAGATGTGTTGTTTATTTGTTAACTTTTGCCTAA